TTTTTTTAAATAAAAAAAGGGTATATTTCTTAAACGCGTGCGGGAAACAATTAAGTAAGTTGTGGTTGAAACAGAATTATTGAAACAATTATCCTTTATTTTTTTCCTTACAGGATGCAAGGTGCTTCTACAACTTGTTGAAATATTTGTTAACGATATTTTCTTTTGTTTTTACCTTATGTGCAAGCGGTAAAAAGAATGTAGGTTTGGTTGGAAAAAAAATGCATTCGATTCAAACAGTTCCTTTATAATTGAAGACACTTTTATTTTTTCAAATGATTTTTTTCTAAATACATTTTTATATAATTAAAAGAACATTTAATTTAAATGTATTGTAAGTATTGTAACTAAATTGCGAAATATTATTTTATAATATTGCGGAATAATATTTTTAAACATTACAGATATATTATTTATAGATTTTAAAAATTATTTTTCTTTCGAAAATACTGCAAATCTAAATCCTTGCTTGTAAGATAATGTTTTTAACTAGTCATGCATCATTATTATGATATATTAAAGATTTATCTGAATTCTATTAACTTTGATGTCATTACTTCATAAAATACAGTGTTTTCATGATACTTTGCATGATACAGGAGAAAAACTCAATTAATAACACGAAAATGGGTTAAACTTTGTATATCTTCTCAAAATTGGCTATAAATATAAACATGAAACAATAAAACATAATAAAATATTCATTCGCGATCACACGCTACGTAAATAATTTCTCCATTCATACTTTACGATGTTAAAACAGAAAACATCAAACGATTTCTTTTAAAGGTTAAAAGGTAGCTTTTAATTATTTTATTAATGTAGTGTTCGTGATAGCTAACTTATTATAAGGAGGTAAACTATGTGTTCGTATTAGTGCCTTTTACGAATAAAAAATTAAAGTGTATTAACTCACTTTTATATACAAAAATCACGCGATCGTGCAGGAAATTATTCTCAATTTTTTTCCAAGGAAATGATTAGGTGAATCTGTTTTAACATTTTACTCACGAGAATATGCGCTGGCAAATGTTTATTTATTTTTTTTTTTTATTTTTTTTTATTTTTTATAATTACGCATTTCGTTAAAAAAATTTTTTTTAATTTATTCGATGCAATTATATCGAATTCTTCAATATAGTTTTAGGCTAGCCGTGGTGGCTCAGGGGATAGAGTTCACCTTATAAACCAGGCTCGAATTCGACCAGCGATTACTGGTCGATACGAATGCCGCACCAGGTTTGCCCCGACCACAACGTTGACTTGACATTTCCTCATTAATAGACGGATCATGGGTCAAAGTCCCCTTGCCGTTAGCCTAACCATGGGAGGTTTTCCTCTCCGTGTGACGCAAATCCGTGTTAGTTCCTTTAAAAAGTCCTCCACGACGGCAACCTTGATCCAGGAGTTCTTCTGTCTTCTGGATTGGGTTCAAATGCACAAGACCGCGGAGTTGAACATTGTTAGTCGTAAACCGAAAATTGGGTCGGCATTTTTAGATAACTGAAAGTGAAAAGCCAATATGCCATTTCGTGAACCCATTTTGTCTAACATTGATATTTTGAAATGTTCCATTTGTAATTTCGCAGCCAGCCTTTGAATTTCAGAATTAAATAGAATTTTTATATAATTGAAAGTTAAAATAAAAACCGATGCGCCATTTTGACTATCACTGGCAATTTCAAATGTTCCATTTGTCATTCTCACAGCCAGATTTTCTAATTCAGAATAAAATAGAATTTTTATACAACTGATATTCTAAACAAAAGACAATATGCCATTTTGTGAACCCATTTTGTCTAACATTGACAGTTTGAAATGTTCCATTTGTTATTTTTGCACCCAGCATTTGCTATTCATAATTAGAGTTTTTATAGAATTGAAAATGAAAACAAAAACCGATGCGCCATTTCGTCTAACACTGACAATTTTAAATGTTCCATTTGTCATTCTCATAGCCGGCTTTTCTCACAGGGGAAAGCCAATTTCAATTTTTCACTAATTTATTTTGATTTCGAATCCATCAGATTAGAAGAGAGTAACCCTATCAGATAGTTACTTTAGCAAGCAGATGCCAGCCTCAATTATGGAGTTCCTTTACCGGGCTTGGTGACCGGTAGCCGAGAAGCTTCATCTATCATATTTTATGGCAGCTGTAAGGAAGGATTTGCACGCTAATTTTCCGCCTTCTCAGACTTTAAAAACTACAGAATGGATTTATTAAGATAAATCACTCTTTTTAATCGTTTTTCGAAACATGGACTCCAGAAAAAAGTAAACAGATTCTGCGCTCGTGACTGTTTTTAAATTCGGAAAAATATTCTTTTTTTTTTATGAATACTCTGAATTAGCATATTTATATCAGAGAAATGTCGTTTCTAGTTTTATAAAATAATTTTTAATGCTATACTATATTGATTAAATGTGTCAGATGATGAAAATAAATAAAATAAACCGAAATTGAATGAAAGTATAATAAATTTTAACTTAGCAATGAATTATAATTTTAGCATCTGCCAAGTTCTAATGCGTATTAAATGCGTATTATTGTTGCACGTCAGAAAATTTAAAAGTTTGTGACTGGGTTTTATTGAAAATTAACTTTTCGAACCAGATTTTAGGAATAATCTGTTATCAGAGCTCATTGAAGGTATACATAATTTGTCGTTGGTTAAAATAGTAATTTTTATTGATAAAATGCGTCTTTTAGTGTATAACTGTGAATTTTTTTAAATAAAAATACAGATTTTTTCTTCGTTAATAGGAGCACATTTTTTTAGCTAGACTTTTTGTAGCATTAGTTTTATATTCATTTTTAATCCTGAAAAAATACTTTTTACAACTTCTTCTATTTAGAATATTTTTCAACTGAGAAAATAAATTTATTTTCATTTCAGCTATTTTTTTGTCTTCAAATTTTTTTTCTACAAGTTTCTTTGATGTTCCTCGATTATAACTCTATATTTCGTTTTGCAGGTTTAGTTTCATAAGTTTTCATTTAGTTTTTAACAAAAAAATAGTTTTTGCTTTGCGTAGCTTCTAATTTTTTATCATGGAAATAATTATCGTGTTTTTTTTAGAACAATGCTTTCTATTTTATTAAAAACGAAGTTTTTTTTTAATTTTGAAAAACATATCTTATTATAGCTGGTATAAAAAAATCTCAATAAAATTTCATGTGAATAATATATAATTCAAATATCAATATTCTCAATATCAAAAGAATGTAATATTAAGATACTTCTCAATAACAAAAGAAGTACTTATCAATCTATAGTCGATTATCAATCCAATTTTTACCTGTTATACCATCCATAGCTTTTACCTGTTATATTATTGTTTACCTGCAGATAAAAGCTATGGATTGATAATTAATTCTTTTTCAAGCACTACTTTTGTTTTTGCTATATTTGATAGTCATAGACAACATCTGAACCTATACACATTCTTCTAACTGAAAGCTTTCAAGCACTGTGAAAAATTGTAATATTAATCTATTTGTTGAACAACTCAAAAAATTGGTTATGATAAGTGATTTGCAAGGGAGGTAAATTACATCAATCATAAGGTTTGAGAATTGTTTAGCAACTCGTGGCCGAAAATGTCGTCATGTGCCGGAAGGGGCACATCATTTCTATTTATCTAAATTTCGTATTTTCAAGTAATTATCGTCAAAAACTTCCTTCATATTTTCCGAGATTTAGTTGTTTTATGGAAATTTTTTGATTTGGGGACTAACTTGCTGCAGTTAAGCTTGTGATAAAATAGCTATTTTGGGGGCCGATGAAAATATAATTTTCGTCAATAATTATTGGAAAACATTAAATTAAGATAATTTAAGTAAATGAAAGTATCGACTCAATTGCGCACGAAAAGTTAATCCTCAAGAGAGTTTAATAAAAAGGCGCCGATAACGACAGGATATAAGATTTCCGGATATGATATACCTTACCTNTCCCCCCCCCTCATTTTGTAACCGATTTTCTGAACATTCCTGTATGGCCTAAATATATTAGTATCAAATGTGAATATAGAAAAAAAATTCTTTATATTCACAAAAAAAAATTATCTGTGCAAAATAATTTCTGTACTTATCCATTCTCCGGCGATAAAGTCTCCATTGAAAAAATAACAAAATTGATTGTATTTTTTAAAAAAAAAATTTTTGAATAAATTTTTAAATGAATTAACAAAAAATAAATGAAATAATAAAATAACTATGTTAATAAATTAATATTAAATGAAATAGAAACTTTTCAGAAAATCGCACTGTGTTTCACACCAATAACTTTAACTTTGCTTTTAACTCGATTGGTGATTTCTAAGCTTTACGTACTATGTTATACAAAAATTCGACCAGGAATGCTGCACAACATGCCCATAGATGCCAACATGGTTCGGAAAAAATCCGGTAGAATTAGCGAAATAATACAAATTTCATGATAATTGTCACAAAATGTACTAAATATTTAACACATAGGGAATTTTAGGGATTTTCATAGTCATCAAAATCGAAAAATTGCAATATTTTCTATTTATGATTAACATTAAATGAACTTTAAATGCCATGCATTATGTTCACCCATAATTTTGAATAGTAATAGACATGTAATTTATCAAAGATAGTTAAAAAGATTTTTTAATTAATTTAAAAAGACAATTCTTAATAAAAAATAAACTTTTTAGAACAAAATAAGTTTTAAACTGATATTTATGAATGAGGCTCGCTTCATTATGCATTAGTAAGACATGTGTTTTAATAAAAAGGAACTGTTTCTTTAATGTAGCATGATTCGTTACTACACTTACTCAATTTCCGGGAATTTTGTAAAATGCACAAAGACCAGGAGAATTTTTATTAAACCAGGAGAAACTGGCAAAATTCAGTAGTTTTGCTGGAAAAACCAGTAGAGTTGGCGCGGCTATGTGTGCCCTATTTGTAGTCGTTAGGTCAAAGTGAAATATTGTCTGTTAAAACTGCGAATGATTGAAAACAACGATTCATTTATTCCAAATAAATTAATTTTTTATTCATTATTTACAAATAAATCTATATAACAATGTGTTCTTCCAAACACTCATTTGAACAATTAAAAAAAATGCATTCAAACCAGACATGTATATTTACATTACAATTTATAAATCTACAATGAATAGAGTTTATACAATTCCATTTATTCATACATTTTTTAAAAAGAAAACAAATTTGAAATCTAATTCGAAAAATCAAAATGAAATAATAACAGTTTAGTTTTGCTGAGAATAAAATTATTGCAAAGTAATTATCAGTTTCCTATTTTGTTTCAATATACACTGCAAATTATTTACACAGTAAATAAAAGTAAGCACAACTCTGTAGATCACAAAAAATTATTAAGTTTCAGCATAAACAATTTGATAACTACAAACCATATTTTTAATGTATGCAGCTAAATATTTATACAATAAAATATTATGTATACGTCTCTGTCCAACAAAGGCTAAGGTAAACTTTGTGCTATGTATACTAAAGCAAAATAAATCATGAACAAAGCACAAATAAACGCACATAAATGGACATACTACAGTTTCAATTCTCTAAGCAAGAACCTTCCTCAGTGTCTAAAACCAAATGATTTAGGTGTTAGGTCAGAGAAGAGACGCCACTAAACACCAAAGGTGTTTAGACAATGAGGAAGATTCCTGCTTATAGAACTGTACGTCCATACTTTCATTTGTGCATTATTCATGTTTTTTTTTTTTGCTTTAGTATACATTTACAGTTTATTTAACAAATTACACTCAATACAGGTAATTACTATTTTATTCAAATAAAATTTAATAAGATTGACCAAAGTTAAAAATAATAAATAGATGCATGAAATGTTAACCAATAATGAATGGTATTTGGCTTGGAGAAGGTAAATTAGTAAACTATGCACGCCAAAATCAGTTCCTTATTATGAACATAACATTTTAGTCGCAATTTCCTGCACAATGAACCTCCAGCTTACATTAGATAACTGAGGAATTTAGTGGAAGAAAGTTTCAAGTGACATTTTTATGGATTTAGGAGCACCAGCTTGCCGAAAATAGGGCAATAACCTGCCTACAGAGAATATTTTCAGGCTTATTCGATGAACAAGCAGAAAAGAAACTTTCTATGGATGCTAAACATTACTTGGTTTGAACCACAAAAGAGTTGCGACTTATACCTTTTTCCACTAAGTTCTTCTAAGAAAAAAACTACAGCAGTAAATTTATCTTGGCACTTTTTGAATTAGTTATTGAGTAATTAAATTTACTAGTACTTTTTATGCTTAAAAATATTCAAAATATTAAAAAAAAATATTCGTTCAACAAAAGTAAAAACTATTAACTATTAAAGGCATCAAAAGCTTTACCAATAATTTTATAAGACTGCAATTTAATTTTTTTTCCTAAAAGAGACCAGAGACTAAACAAATTAAAATCATAATTAAAATTGCTGACTTTTTCCTTTAATAAAGTTATGCATATTTTCTAATAAAGTAATTTCTATATTTTGATAACCGAAGTCAGTAACGTGATGTTTACAAACTTGAGATGTCTTATTAAAATACTGTTGAAATTATTATGTCTTGTTTAAAGTTATGTTCGAGTCCAAATTTAGGAAAACGACAGACTTTAAATGTATTCTTAAATTTCGAAATTTCAGCATTACCAAAGTGAAGCTTGACATGTTCTTCCACTAAGCTTTTCTCCTTTAAAATTTGCTAAAACGTCATTCTAAATTTTAGAAGATTTATATTAGATGTAGAAAACTAAACACGGAGATCATTTTAAACAACAAAGTATTTATATTGGATGAAGAAAAAAAAATGTAGAGGCATATAAATTAAATATCTAACTTTCAAAACTGCTTTAAATTATTGCAATTGTATTTCAATAGAATATTATTGTCAAAATTACAGTAGTCTCAAAACATTTCAATAAAAAAATTGTGTGTGCAAATATTTTACAGTGCGTAGTTTTACTAGTGTATCTTTAAAATGGTTACTACATTATCACTAACAATCACATAACAGCAATAGACCATTTTGCTTTTCAAGGGAAATGATTTAGGCTATCTTCCGAAATATTGAGTCGGATTTGACCATTTTTATTTAAACAAACAGAAACAATAAAATATAGCTATGGAGAAACACGTGACTTTTTGTTAGCTCTCACACCGACTTGGAATATCTGAAAAGAGAACAAAAAGAAAATATTAGGTGTAAGCCATAGATTTATAGAAAATACAATAAAATACTATATAACTAAATGAAAACATTGAGCACTTTGTGGTGCGTGTCTGTTTTTAACCATCACATCAAATAAATATCTTACAATGTGCAATATTGCTCATCTAAGTTGATAAGCTTTGGAGAAATAAATTCTGAAGTTGTGTTTTGTGAAGTGTGAAGTTGAAATTCTTAAGTTGTGTTTAAAAAATGTTTTTTTCTTTATACTGCTTAGTATATTTATTACCGGCAAAGTTTGTAATCCGTCATCCTATAGAATGCCTAGGCATTGTATTTAATGCCTAAAACTAGCCGGCAATGTATGAAACGATTTATATTTTCCACATTTCCTAGACATTCTATAGAATGCCAAATGAGAAACCGGCAAAGTATAAAATACTTCTCCGATTCGTTTCGTAATGTAATGAAATGTAATTCTAAATGTCATTCAAGCCTGCCATGCGGCAATAAGTAGATTAATTTCTTATTTTTAATATGAAAATTTTGTTTCCCTTAATAAGAAAGGCATAAATTATGTTTTGAACAACCTTCATTTTTCTTTACACATTTTGAATAAATTTTTTTAAATGGCACTCTCATTAATTTTTCAGAATAACATTTTTACTTTTGAGAAATGCACATCACTTACATAATAGCCTCATCAGGAAGTTTTCATACTTTGCCTAAATAGCATTTGTCATTCTATAGAATGCCTAGGTATTGCATACAATGCCTAGGGAAAGTATCTAATACTTCTTACATTTCTTACCTTGCCTAAAAGCATCCGGCATTATATACCATTCCTAGGCATTCTATAGAATGACGGAGTTTCATACTTTGCCGGTAACATATTCATCTAATAAAAATTTATTCTAACCAGTATAACAACTAAGTATAAACTTAATAAAAATTCCAATGGAGGCGATGTTAAAAAGAATATACATCACATATTGTTTCACGAGTAGTTAAACTAATATAAATTCTAATTAAAAAGCAAGTTCTTAAAAAAATCGAAAAAAAATTGACGAAAATTGAATTTAGAAAAATTGACGAAATGTTGAGTCTAAAACGGAAGTAAATAACGATCAAATGACATTTTTTTCTTTAAAATATTAATAAACGTCATACAATTTTTCTTTATTCTAATCATTCTTTTCTAAGAATAACATTAAAAAAAAAAAGGTCGAATAATATAATCAGACGATTTCCAACGAATTATTTTTTATCAATCATAAAAAGCTATGTAGCTCAACAATAATCGTTTGATTTCGAAAATTGAAAACGATAGGAAGACAGGCGTATATAAATAACTCGCTCCAAATTGGGAAGAAAATCAAAAAGTAGTTTCATCACGCAGATGTATTGAACTCTTTCATTTAAATAGTCGTCAACTTCTCAATTTCCTTTTTTTCTTTTTCCAGAACCAAATATATATAATCGTTTGCGAAGTGTGAAACCCTCCTTTTTAAAATAATTAACCTCTTACGAAACTCTAACTTGATGAATCGAACAAGTTGAAGGGATTGTGGAATCACCAGGTGCTCTTTTATTTTTTCATCTCGCCTTTAGTTTCACCCACAAAAAATGTTCGAAGGAAGGTGGTTATAAAATATGGCCGCCAATACGTGATGAAAACCCATTGATCTTTGATGTCTTCTACTTTTGTAAATTAAATTTACCTCCACAGGTGGAATCTGAATCGAAAAGAATCCATTTTCTTTCTTTCTTTTTTTTGTTCTATAAACTCAGTTGTTAAATGCTTATTATTTTAAGATTAATTGCATTATAATGACACATTCGTGAAAAAGAAAAGGAATCTGTGGTTTAGTTTTCACTTTTGTTTCTAAAAATGGTATATTTTTGTTAAGAGAAATTTGAAATACACTGCCTCACCAAATTATTCGATGCACTATAAGATTCTATGTAAAATCTTGATTATCAGGTGATACTATACAGCTTTATTTGTTTTTACTCTGCTGAAACCGGTTTGCACTTGTTTACGCTTGTGTGACTATTTGTTAGATTAGACGATATTTAATATAAGTTCAACGATTGGATAAATTAGACGATATATTATATAAATATAGAATAATTATTATATCAAGCATTATATTAGTATATAATAATTAGGTATATTATAATATTAGACGCACTGTAGTTTTTAAATAATGACGTGTTTTGCTCGAGTTTATATTCAATACCTTTATGTTTAAACATGCATGATTTTATTCAGGAGACTTTATTAAATATACTTCCTATTTGTATTTATTTCTTACATATTGCATTATAATGTTATTTAATTGATACACGAACGTAAACAAGTGCAAACCGGTTTCAGCCGTGTAAAAGCAATAAAGCTGTATAGTATCACCAGATAATTAGGATTTTACAAACTCTTATAAAGCGTCGAATAATTTGGCCAGGGACTGTGTAGCGAAACTGTTCGGTTTCCGTTGAAAAAAGGAATATTTGTTGAAAAAAAGGGATTGAAATAGAAAAAAAGGGAAAGATATTCCGAGAAATTGTAACGAAAGTAATAGCTAGAATAAAGAAAGGGACAAATAATAGATATAGTAAAGATAGTAACAGAAATAATAAAGTAATAACAATAGTAAAATAATAATAAAAAGTATTAGAAATAGCAAAGAACAAAAATTTAAATAATAAAGATATCCTAAAATTAAGCATATTTTCTACAGTTAGCTGCATTGTAGAGTTTTTAGTTCTTTAAACACTTGTTTAAAAACGTTAACTTTTTTAAGGGTTATACTTTTTGATAATTCTTAATAAATAAAATATATAGATTGATTTCTATGTTAAATTTACTATAAACTGGAGCAATTTAATTCCTAATTTGTTTTGATTCGAATTATCATTAAAAAAAATAAATAAATAAAAGATAACGCAAAAAATTTTGCGAAAAATCACTCAAAACCATTGGTCAGCTCAACATTTCGTGAGGAGTCCAGTTTATATGAATTTGTGAAAAATCAACGAAGCTCTGTGATTTTCACAAAAAAGCCAAAAGTGAAAATGATTTTTTTTTTAATGAGTTGTAGTTTTAAATTTATCAATTAAAAACGTCATTGACGCCATCTTTCGTAAGAATTTCGAGAAAGGTCCATTTTTTAAAGGAATACATTCAAAATATATGTATACAAAAGAGTCCTTTTTCATTTTAAAAGATCTTGGGAAGAATGCGATAAAATAATTTTATTTTATTTTATATCCGTCGTTGAACAATTGACCCCATTTTGGGTTTACGACTACTATTGTTCAACTCTGTAGCCTTGTCATTTTGAACCCAATCCGGAAGACTAAGAAACTCTTGGATCAATACTCCCAGAGGTAATGATTTGTTATGAGAACATGGAGGACTTTGCGACTCGACAGATTTAACGTTCATCGGTCACCATTTACTACTCGGGGAGTCTTCGGCCGGCGGGGATCGAACCTGCGAACATGGGCCCAGTGCCCTGCCAACCAGGCTATCCCGGCAGACAAAGTAATTTGTGAAAGATCAGCTTTTTCGGTAATATATTTCACGAAAGTACTGTTTAAAGTTACGCATGCGTAAACAAGAGTAATATTAGTACACCATGGTTTAAACACAAGAAAACTTTGAGCAGACGAGAATTTCCCCTAAAATGACCCCAACCAAGAAAAGAAAAGGCTTGTTTAAAAAGAAAAAAAAAGGTAGCTGACCAAAACTCTCCGTACACAATCCCTGAAAATAAACAACCTCTAATCGATATCATAAAAAAGCGGAAATAATAAATAGCGGAGTAATTTTCCTTTACTTTCATGTAATCTTCCTTCTCTGCTTCCGAATAAACTAATAACATAATTCGATAGCTGACAAATGATGAATTACTGTGTTCGGTTATTAGTATATTTATCGCAGAAGTGAATCTTTATTTTTGACGTATATCTTCCATTATTTTTACCATCTCAATTACACAAAAGCGCGTAACTTCGTTGCCATGGTGACGGCAGGTGAAAACTCCCGACCATTTAAGAGATAAAAGTTAATAAAAACATGCGCCATTTTTTTTTCTTCCCTTCCTCAACGAAAGTTGTTTTGGAATTAAGCTCAGCAATTAACTTCATAGATACATGAGAAAACTGACATATTCTGATAACTTGTAAGCTTTGCTAGAGCGTAATATCCAAAAAGTTTTCTTATCTTTTATTAATGGAGTTCAACGATTTTGTTTCAATAGATGGATTGAAGTAGTTTCATGAAGATAACGCAACGAATGCAACAATTACGTTCATGAAGTCGTTATAAAATCCATTAATTTTCACGGAAGATCTTAAACTGGATTTATATGTTTGGTTTGTCAGAAAAAAAGAATCGGATCATTTATACTTGTCCAAAAATACAGTCTCTTTTCCCATAACCCGAATTTCAGTGCTATCAGAACGTTAACCGTTCTACCTAAGCACGGGTCCTGTTCAGGTTCCGCAGACTGTAAAAGTTGAACAACACTCTAAGCTACAACAGTAGTATTTACCCAGACAGTTTCCTGTACTTTTTACGGCGTAGTCATGCAGAAATATGCATTTACATAATACATTTACTAAGAAACTTATGCCTTTAATAATTGATTCATAAATGTCATCAGATATGCATTTACATAATACATTTTATTTTATTTCATAACCGTCGTTGAACAGCCGACCCAATTTTTGGGTTTACGACTACAAATGTTCAACTGAACTACTGGATTAAGTATTGGGAGAAATTTGCTTTCGTAGCGGACTTTCTGATGGCACTAACCCGCATTTGCGTTACATGGAGAAGAACACCACGAGAACCTCCCACTGTTAGCATGACGCCAAGGGGACTCTAGCCCATGATCCGTCTACCACTGAGGATATTTTACGTCAGCACTGTGGTCGGTGCAAGTCGGATCCGTAATTCGTATCGACCAGCCATCGCCGGGATCGAACCCGGTTCACCTCATTGAAAGGCTAATGCGCTATCTTCTGAGCCATCGCGGTTCTACATAATACATTTACTAAGAAGCTTGTGTCTTTAATAATTAATTCATAAATATCTAAAAAAAGTACTTGATATTTCAGTAAGGGAAATCGTAATACTTCTTAAATCGCTTTTACAGAACAAAACAGAGTTAATATCATTTTCAATATTTATAACTGACAATGAAATGTAAATTTGAAAATTTTAACGTTCCTGAAATATCATTTATACGGTTCTTCCAGTAAGCTAAGTGAAGGGTGCAGTGAAAAAACATGTGTGATATTTTAGTGAAGGAAATCATTTAACTTTTTAAACCACTTAAGTTAAGTCAGACTTAGAATAATGTTCAATATATATAACTGACCATACGATGTAACTTTGGAAAATTTAATATTCGTAAAATGACATTTAACATGCTGTTACATTTAACAAAAATTGTGTATTGAAATCAGTGGATGATCATGTGATATTTTAGTGAAGGAAATCATAAAACTTTTTATACCGCTTTAGATTCAAACAAAGCAAACTAATGACCGATGGTTACTACTGGCCATAAGATGTACATTTTCAAAATTTAGCGTTCTTAAAATATCAATGCCCAGGCAACAATTTTACCCCAGTTGGGCTCAACATGGGTCCCATGAGAACACGCACCGAGGGACCCATATTCGGATGTCTAGATTTTTTAATATTAGTCCTAAAATGGCCTATATAGGGCCCGCATTGGCCAATATAGAGCCTTTATTGACAAAATAAGGGATAAAAACTATCGGGTGAATCTGACAATTCTATATAGGGTTAATATCGGAAAAATAAGAGCCTCTTAGAACCCTTTTTTAGTCAAGATTCATAAACATTGGTCCAATATTTTGCTGCTAGGGTCATGGTCATCCACTGAGATCTTTTTAAAAGTGTTTAGTGTATGTATTTCAACTTACCATCTTCTAATTTCGTCCTATTGGGTGCTGATGTAGAAACTGTATGATACATAGACGCTGGAGCACTTGTAAAACCAACGGGATATGAAAAAGAGGATGTCCTCAAGAAAGCTGGCTGAAATGTCCTTATGTCTAGGGGATGTCCCATTTGGGCATAAAATTGTCCATAGTCTATAGGATTATGCCTCAGAGTCTGTGAACTGTCACCACAAGGTAAAAATCTACCATTCAGAAGGCGATTGTAATTAACACTTGGTGCATGCGTCGCGGACACTTCTGCACTGGGTGGTAAAACGGATGGGGATCCCGAGGAGGATGGTGACACAGAAGCTAAGTCACTTCGCTCGTGGGAGGTGACACTACCGAATTTGTCACCATGTGGGAAATTGGGCAACTCTCCTGTTCTCCAAAGGGGTGGTGACGATAAAGATGATTCGGCTGAACTGTCCTGCGGAGGAAGAGGCCTGTGGTACGGTGAAGGATGGTATAAGTGTTCATTGTAACCCAACCTTCTTAATTTTTGGTTCAGATCAGTTTGGTGGTCGAAGAACTTTTTTTGGGGTGGTGGGCTCTCTGAGGTGGCAGTCTGAGCTAGCGACCAGATTTTTGGTTTTTCAATTGATTCTGATTTGATGTGTTCAGGAAGTTCAGGGAATTTGGTTTCTGAGGTTTCAAGCGCTTTCATTGGAGACCTGTCTTCGGGAGCACTGAGGCTGTCACCAACGGGGGAGGTGCATTTCTGTTGTCGGTTTTCATCGTCCTTCATACTGTCTCGTCTTGTTCTACTGGAGTCACTTTCCTGGCATTCTGAAATTAAGTACAAAACATCATTATAAATTTTTTTTTTATACATCCTATTTTGATCATCATACAATATCATCATTATTAAGTTTGTTATTTCTTTTTTCCAATTTGGAATTATTGGTTTTAAAACCAGTTCCATCGAATTATTCTATGAATAACTTTTTCGTATAGCTCAGTCTAAATTTTTGAAAATTAATTTTTTAACCAGCTCCATCTAGTTTATTCGTAATCAACATTTTTGTCAATTTTCGAAAATCTTATGCAACAAACTGTTTCCAGGCTGACCTAAAACCACTTTTAAGTGTTGAAATTTTTAAAAATAAAATGTTTAACTTTTTTAACAAAATTATAAATTTTTATTTTTTAAAAATCTACATGTAATTTCAATATTTTTTGTAGTCCGCTACATTTTTATTTATCAATTTTATTAATCGTATTATTCTAACTTTAGTACATCATGAACATACTTAACTAGAAATTTATAGATAATTAGCGTTTTTTTTTTTTTTTTTACTATAGATAATTGGAACTATTTGACAGAAATTGTATCATTGTTTTTAATTTTAATTCATCGCAATTAATTTAAAATCTGTAAGACTATATGCTTTTTTTTTTTTTTTTTTTTTTTTTTTTTTTTTTTTTTTTTTTTTNTTTTTTTTTTTTTTTTTTTTTTTTAATTTCACATCCAAAATATACTAACTACAGTATAAAAATTTCTTCTATTAAAAATGGCCGCTGACATCACTTGCAGCATTACAAATCATTCCTGATTGTATTGATGCAGTATTACAAAACATGTTGCCCATCGTAAGACAGACGTGTAATTTTATCCCTCGCAAATTTTTATTAATACGCAACATCACGCTCAGCATAATTTCTCTCTTTATATTAATATGCCATTCCCGAAAATCATAAAGGAAATTAGCGTCGAACAGAAAAGGAAAAAAAAAATTGCTGAAATTACTTCGATATTTTTTCTTTTTTCTTCATGAGAGAAAAAAAGAAAAGATAACACATTACCTTAAAACATATACCTGGTCTAAATGCGCTTTTCATGCTATTGTTGAGTGCTAATGTCTCAATTTCGTAGATGACAGAATCACAAGGCAGTTAGATTTATGACATAATAAGACACTGCGGGTTGAAACTATAGTTTGCGTGTACGCAACACCCCGTGGGAGTCTTTGAGTTTTCCCGCTTTTTTCTTCATTCTTGCCCCTCCCCACCCGTTACTCATTTTTATGGCACCCAACCCCCCATTCCGTATTCGATGCTTGCACATTATATTCAATGGATATTTTTCTTAAGAGTGCCAGTGAAGATTCTACGAGGAAAATTTTTTTTTCTACTCTTTCCTGCCCAAAGGATGCTTTTTTTTTTGTTTTAATTTCATTTTGTTGATAGTAACAAATGCTTATCGTAACAGATGTGGTTCGAGTGTTGTTTTTAAAAAAATTTCTACACAAATCCAAATAGAAAAAAAAAAAGAAAGAAAGCTTTTGTTATTCGAAATAAAATAAAAAAATCAGTGTCAATATTCACGTAATGTGCCCATTAAAAACAGAATGCCTGACTGGCTTGTTCAAACTATTATGACGTAAACATATTTTATGCAAATTCGAACCCCCACCCCCGTCCAGCTTGACAGCAAAAATAAGCTAATTACAAACCATGCTTACACAAAAAAGTATATATATATATATATAGTATATAAAATCTTAATCATTAATATATCAAAATTACATTTTCTTTACTCATTTCATGAAAACTTTGAATGGAATATTGCTTGACCTACGTGAAATAACTTTCCTACGTGTAATAACTTTCGTTGCATTTTTTAATTTGCTTTTTAAGAAGAATTTGAAAATAAGAGTATTTTAATGTTTTACATAAACATTTCTCATGCAAATACTGAAAAACTCTCAATATTAGCCTTTAAAATATAATAATTCGCTTATATATTTCATCCTAATTCTGATAGTTACAAACATAAAATAAAAAATTTATATTTTATATATTTTTATGTATTTTATATATATTTGCAAAATTTCTTTAATAATTTTTTTTCATTTGAATATTATTAACTATTTTTAGAGGTTTTTTTATTCTTCTCCTTTTTCACGTACCCTGAATTTAAAATACACATTCCTAAACGCTAAACACGTATGATAAAATTTTGAAATTTTTGAGCCCTTGCTATTCTCCTACTCTAACGATTTTTTTTTTTTTTTTTTTTAAATGAGGCTGTTGTTAATAAAAAATATCCTTTGTTGCACGAATGTATTTAACAATAATTTTCTGAAAATTTAATAAAATTTTAATTTCTCTTTCTTAATTTCACGACAAGGTACGTTAACTGAATAACGTCCTTCAGCATATTTTTTGTGATTTTGCTACCTCTCCCCTTTATCAGGCAAAAAACGCACATCACTTCTCCAGATCCTTCAATATTGATATATTTTCGAATCATAACCCCCTTCCTTATTACTGTTTTTCCCCCTAACTTAAAGCGTTTATTTTTTCGTCATAGAGATTTTATTGCATTACGGTAAGTGTGGACTATTCTACAAATAAATAAACGAATAAAAACTAAAATGCAAATTCCTGCATCTTCTCAACTGATTAACTAACTATAATTATTTAGTTAACGCCCAGCCCTTTCATCGATTATTTCAAGGAAAAAAAAATATTTAGTCAAAGAACAAATAAGAACATTTTTTAATATCATAACTATCAGTCTCGCATTATTGACTAGCTTACTGATAGGCAGTCATTCATTGTTATTAATCCTTAGATAATAATTTAGTTTTAATGTGTCTAATTTCTTTCAATTAATAAATTTGAAAAATGAATTAAAATATCATTATAATAAAAAAGTAATATTAAAATTCTATAGATATTGTATCATATAAACTCCTTAGCTTTAGAAGATGGAGGGATCTGCTTGTTTAAAGATGCATAGTTTTTTCTGAAATAACTTCGTTTTCTAATTGAACTTTTAACTCTAACGCACTAGCAGAGCACTCTGACTGCAACATGAGATTGTAGAAATCGTCGAAAAGATCTCTCTTAATAAGAGTCTTGAGCAAATATTTTGAATACATTCCAGTTTACTAATTTGTTTTGCTAATATTTTTTGTTCAAATATATTTCCGTTTCGTTAAAATCGTTCAGAAAATGCGCTCAGTTATGTTTTTCTCCGATTTTCAAGATTTTTAACGACTGAAATATGTATTGTCTTAGGCTTTTATCATACAAAAATAAACAATATTCATACAGTTAAATGCTGCACTGCCTACCTCTTATACTTATCTCCCTACATATTTATGGTTTTATCTTTTAACAGAAACGTGCAAATTGAACTTTATTATATGTCCTAATAACTAAGGAGATTGAACCCTATTCTTTCAGTGTATGTTTCAAGTCAAGGCAGATTTTAAGTCATTTATTACATAGTTAACTCCTGCAAGGCAAAAGCGGTCTCTCATACTTCCGTTTGATTAGAACAACCCCAAAACATGTCTCATTCCAAGAAATTAAACCGATACACGGCGCTAATCTCTCAATTGGGAGCTTTCGCGTGAGACAGGCCTATAAATATCGTCCAGATCTTTTCTGAAACAATGCGGGGTTTCGTCAAAAATGGCCTTTCTTCTTTTTGTTTCGGCTATTTTCTTCTTCGGGGAAACTCCTCTTACCTAGTATAACTGCGTGTAATTATTGTTGACGGACGGGGCCAATTTGCTAGGAGTATGATTTGTGTGCCTTGTGTTGAAGGGCCCCTCCCCTTTGTACCTATCTCATGGCACGTTGGGCCCCGAAGGTTGCACGAGAAATCTCTGCTCCTGGAATATATAGCACTCACTTATCGTGGCTCGTAAATTTTGCGTCATGGGCTTCAATTGAGTTGTCCACCTTCTAGCGGGCTCTGGTCAATGGGCCTGCCGTGCCCAAAGCCGGCAATTACACACTCTCTAGATGTCTCAATTATTGCTCTTTTTTTTCTTCCCTTGGCAGAATGTCTTTAGCATACAGCTTGACAGGTGTTGGGCAAGTTATAAATCGGGACATTAAATAAAAAGTATATGAGGCACAAGGCATGTGACGTGCATGTCAGTCATAATTCTGTAATGCGCTATTAGCCGCTTAACTTTGCCTTCGAGGGGCAGATTTCCTTGTGTGCGTACACGTATACAATTTAGTTTTTATTGCTTTACGACGTGTGATGACTGGTCGTTAGATGGTTCGTTTTTATAAGGTTGTTTTTTAAACACTGGTTGTGGTTGGAAATTAAAACATATACCAGAAGAAGGGGGGAGGGATGTCAGACATATACGAAAATTGAGATGTCAACTATGCGTGGTTCAGTAATGAAGTTATTAATGTCGTTCTCGTTATTTTTGTCGTTCTGCAAAAGGCCATTTCTAAGGGGAGAGCAATAAGAGGCATGTCGGTTCCCGTTAATGGGCCACTTACCGGCGCCACTGAACAAAGTAGCCATTTCTGAGAAATTAGATTTTTTTTTTGTTTTTTTTTTGCCTTGAAGTAGAAAAGTATGATAGGAATCTTTCATATCACTCATTTAGATTCGGTTATAAATGAGTGATCTGATCTATGTTTACAAATAGGTATAATTTTAATAATGGTGAAATGATTTGCAATGTTAATTATCCCCAAAGAAGATTACACTGAAGAGGTATTTACAACTAAATTTGGTCATCAACTCTTTTTTTTATTTATTATTATTAATCTTATTATGAGCATGCAAATTTGACTCGCCAAATTAACCGAAAAATTCCCCTTTTAACAAATAGAATGGAATAGGTGGTGTAAAAAATTATTTTAATCAATACATAACATTATTTTTTTTTTAAATCAGTCATTTCGTCAAAGGCGAAAAACTTTGACTAATAAAATGAGTTATGATACTTTTTTTTATCTAGATGAAATTAGTCTTAATACCTTTCATTTTCGATCGTTTATGCATTTCGTAATTCCAATTCTTAAACTTTCCTTTAAATATATTTCACATTATTAGCGACTGTTGTCGTATACGTAAGCACTTAAAGTGGTGAAGTTGAATTATGATCTGGTTATTTAAGAGTGGAGACAGGGTATAAGCAATTCTTACGTAAGACGTAAAAATACTCCTATTTTTAAAATTTTCTTAGAAAGCGAAATAAAATTATTAAATTACTGAATGAAAAATTTAAAATTTGTAATAAAAGATGCATCTGGGGGTGAAAAAATTGGAGAAAAAAAAATTCCTTTGAAGAATTTCAGATGTCAGCGATTTTGTACGCAAAAATAAAACACAAGATTTCTAAAGAATATTTTGCTCAAAGATTAAGGATATTAATTGCAACAATTTTTTTAATGCTTTTATTTTGCCAAGTTCCATCTTTTATTTTAAATTTAATCTTAAAATTAGACTACGGAATAGTAAAACTACAGCGAAAGTCAAACAGTGATTTTTATACGTAAGCGTGAGAGGATGTTTGTGATCTGCTTATTTTTGCTGACAAGGAGGAGAAAGAGGGTGCAAATTCCCCCCCCCCCCAAGAAAAAAAATGCTTACGTAATATTTGAACGGACCACTAGCCAATTATGGTTACGTGTTATTGAATATTTTGAAATGAAAATCAAAATAATTCAGCTATTTTGAAAGATGCCTGTAAACAAAAATTCACAAAAAAAAAAGCGTTTTATTTCAAAAAGATGAAATCAAAATAAAGATATAATAGAAAACAAAACGTTGCAAAATGATTAATGATACAAAATAAAACAGGCTATAAAATCTTTCCTGATGTTAAAATAAATGAAGTATACTTAAAATAATTTTATAACATTTTCTTCAAGTTCAATACTAAAACGTTTACAAAAAGTACATTAAAGGCAGTTATTGTTACTTAATGTTTTTTCTTTTCTTCCTTTATCTGTTATCTGATGCAAATGAATTAAAGGAGACAAATCTTTCTTTTAACGATACTTGATTTTCCTCCTAAAGTCAAGTCCTCTTCATGAATTTAATACGTAATAACATAAGGAAATGTTTTTCAAAAAAATTAAAAGCTTATTTTTAAGTTGTTGAAAAATGCTTTTTAGCTGATTATTCGTAAATGTTTGTGCTTGAAGATAAGAAAAAAGACAATTCGTAACTCTTATTCTAATGATTTGATCGTGACTTTGAGAAATAATTGATTTCGATGTCAAATAATCGTGTTCTCTAATCTTGTTTAAACAACCTCAAAGAGATTTACGACTCGCAAGAGATTGTGTGTTCATTGTTATTATAAAGCATATCTACAGGGAAAAGTGTAGTCCTCAAAAACAACTTAATAACAGAGTTGGAAACATTTCACAGCGATTTTACATGTCATTTAAGAAAAATTATTGGATATGGAAACACGATACAAGCTTATAATTTGATTGCAACTAGAAATTGAAATCGTATCTTATAAGGTTGAAGGAGATATTTTTTAATTTAGTAAAATATGTTCTTTTAACACTAGAGAGACTGATACTTAGTATATACCTATATTGCCCAAAAGAAGCAATCGAAATGACTGGATTGTGAGAGAATAACTAATGTGCAAAGAAATTTGTTTAAAATTAATTTTTGATATTTTTTTACAGTTATATAACAAGCTATTAGTAAATATTAACAATAAAAAAATCATATACTGTACAAAAAGTCAACAAAATTCTACGACATTGTGTCATTATATAAATCATTGTTTTTCTAATTGAAATTAAAAAGCAGTCAAAATGACTTCCTTGGGCAATCTAGTATTAACTGTAAAAAATAGATCCTCAAATTTCTCGGAACTTTTTACGTTTTTAACGAAACCGTTCTTTGGTATTTGCTCTTGAACGAACATTTCGTCAAAGTGGCGAAATACCTATCGTCACTTCTAGGAAACGAATTTCGACAAAGGTGAAGACATATTTTGTCATTCCAGTTAACTCTCTCCCATAACGCACTGCGATGAGGCTCCCAAGTTAAGGAAACATTTTCGCCATATTTTTGAGAGTTTGCTTTTCGTCACAAATCATGTGATTTCGTGATTAAATGATTATCAAAATTAACGAAATACAGCTCAAGGATTACTGAATAGTCAGAAATGATGTATTTGTTTCCGAGAGTTTGTTATAGTGTGTATTTTAAGTGCACAAAAATATTGCTCAAAAATTAAGCAGGCACTTGGGGGGGGGGCGTGAAGGGGTGTTGGCAATGTTTACGTAAGACAAATAAAACCTCCTTATTGTCAATTTTTTTTCAAGCCAAAATATTTTTTAAAGCCCAAACATTTTGTTACTTTTTGTGAAATGACAAAATGTTTTTAAAAATGTGACATTTTTGAAAAATTTTAATTTAGAAATAAAGGTTAAATTTTGGGAAAGAAAAAAGAAAAATTTCTTTACGGCGTTTCAGATTTTTTTTTTTTATAATAAATTGAAACTTAAATTTTATTGACTACATGAAAACTGAATACAAGGGGAAAAAACTTTTTAAAGTTTTATTACCAAGAAACAAAAATGTAAATTCTATTTTGTATGCAAAAAAAAAAACTTTTATTCTATAAACCTATATCAAAAAGGTACTAAGGAACTAAAAATTTTCTTTGACAATAAAGCCTGAAAAAAAAAATCTTTTTAAATTATGTTAATTATACAAGTTTTATTTAAAAATACTCAGTTTTTTTAATTTTGTATCTGCTGATGAAAGTGATGGAAAACCTTTAAAATTGTAGAGATACGCATAAAAACAAATAAATAAATTAGAAAAAAAATTATAATTATTATTTTTCATAATTATAATTTTTTCCCCTCTAAAACAAAGGCTCCCACAAAAATTTTGATTGCGTATCCTTTTCTGAATGAAACTTATTTTAAATTTTATAAAATTTAAAAGAAAAATTAAAATTGTACCTCGTACCATTTATTTTCACTATCATACAAAAATATAAACTTGCACTTGTTTTATTAGTGTTTAGTCCTGCTAAAAACTATCTGACATAATATTTATAGAATTGTGTGCAACTCGATTCATTCCATACAATGATATAATATAATATTTTTACCACGATGGGTGAACAGGTTCGTATCCTGGAGTTGGCAATTATAATTTTTATAATGTTTATTAATAATTCTTTGAAAATTATGCATCGCCAAACTGCATCTTTCAATATGAATTGTTACTTATGCAGCAAAATTCAGATTGAATTCTTGAGCTTTCAATTGAAACTCAAAAGGGATAAATAACAATTCCGAAAATTACAATAGAATGTTTCCTTTGATGAGATAGTAAAAAAAAAAAAAATTAATCGAAGGTAGGGGGAGGGGAAGTAGAGATGTTTTTCTTTCCTAATCAGATGAAAACGTTCGATAAATAAAAACAATTGTTTTTCTATCTGTTTATGGACTTATTGTTTTCATTTTTATTTGTGTATCTCAGTAAAGGAGGGACTTCTGAAGCGTGACATCTAACGGGATAGTGTGTACACAATTGAACAATGGATCAGCACACAAAACATTGAGTTTGCATGCTTGTAGTGACACTAGTATGCAAACTAGTTTGCTAAACTCAAATTGAACAGTAGATGAAAATCTCTATGACACTATCACCAGAGTAAATTATTTTATTCTTAAAAGCATCCAACATGTACCAGTTTAGAAAAGTTTTAACTGCATGCACACATGAGTAATCGAGACATTTTAAAGAGTACTTCAATTGCATAGCGTTGATGCATTTTGAATGAATTAAGAAACACATTTCTATACAAACTTGTTAAGGGGCATTTATATAAGTTTATTATAGTATGATACTTTTTAACCCAAGTAAGATATTTTTAAACTCCATATTTTTAAGCACGGGGTATGATATTTTTAAACTCATGGTGTGATATCTTTAAACTCATGGTGCAATATTTTTAAACTCATGGTATGATTTTTTAAACACAAGGTACAATATGCTTTACTCATGGTATGATATTTCTAAACACAAGGTACAATATGCTTTGCTCATGGTATGATATTTTTAAACACAAGGTACAATATGCTTTACTCATGGTATGATATTTTTAAACACACGGTATGATATTTTTAAACTCATTGTATGATATTTTTAAAGACACTGTATGATACTTCTAAAAAGTTTAGAATTACTTCGCACAGTTCGTTTACAATAACAATCGAAAGTAAAAACTGCAGCAAATAAGAAATGAGATTAGGATAATGATCTTACTTTGATTTTCATTCGAATCGCTGAGTTCGCTCTTAAGGTCATCCCCACTCTGCTGATCATCTTTATCATCATCTTCATCCACAGATACATCATCTAAATCATCCCCAGTTTTGTTCCTTGGCTCCCACGTCATTTTGTTCTCTTTTTTCAGCCTCCTGCGAGCATTCGCAAACCACGTTGAGACTTGTGTGAGAGTCATTTTGGTGATGATGGCCAGCATGATCTTCTCACCTTTCGTCGGGTAAGGATTCTTACGGTGTTCGTTGAGCCAATTTTTCAACATACCCGTTGTTTCACGTGTCGCGTTGCGACGTCGCGCTTCACTATCAACAGGATCAAACCTAGGACAATGAAAAAAAATTAGTACCCTTATTAGTTACTATAATAGAAGGGGAAAAAAACATTGTAAATACATTTCGTTTTTTTTTTTTTTAAAGTAAAAAAATTTTTTTGTGAATTTTTATATTTGGTCGTGATTGTATAAATCCGTAGAGACAGCTTTCGAGATTTGCGCATACGCAGTTAAGGTACACCTCGAAAGCTTGTAAAAAACTAATTTTAAAAACTGAAAATTTTCAGTTGGAATTAAAACGAAGTATAATTATTGACGCATATCTATATCACAAATGAAATAAACGAATATGTTAATGAAAATTAAAATAATAGTAAAATAATACAATTCCTTGTTGCAAGGTGATAGCAAGAAAGTATATTAAATTATAAATGGGACCAAAAAAAAATTCAGTTGGAAATATTTTGTATTTTATACTATGACATAATAGAATATTAATATTATAAAAGTCCATGAGCAAATAAAAAAAATTAAAACTATTTAAAAATGTAAGTTTTTTGTAAAACATAATAGTTAAGAAAATGAAACTTATAAATTGTGAGTTATAAACTTTAATAAATTTAAAAGCATACCGATCTCCGTACGGAGAATATGCGGCGAGTACAGGTTCATATCCGTGTCCTGGTGGTAGGGATGCCCAGGCAGCCCGAGGATCTTTTATGTCATAAGGAGATGCCTGAAAAACAAATTTTATTAAAATAAGGCACATTTTTTCAGTAATTATGTTTGTTTTTACTACTGCATAAAGCCTATAGTAAAAATTAAAATTATCAATGAATATTTAAAAAAAAAAGAATCCTAATAATCATTTTGCATTTGAAAGTGTTATAAATTTATGCATAGGGAAAACAGCATGAATAATTTGCGATAAACTATATTTATGTTAAGGATTTGAAAACAAATCTAAGCACGTGTGTATTAATCAAATAAATTGAACAGTTACAAGGTCAAAAATCTCTTAGTGTCTTGGACCTATTTTAATTATAACTGATCATGTAACACTGCAATTTTTAACGGAAGATATACTACTCATTTTTATCCGGATACTTAACTATTCTGTTTATTTTAACGAGTTAAATTACTCTGCATATTAGTTGTAACTTTAGCTGAAAAATGCTATACAAAAGGAGATGATTTTTTTTAATTCGGATGATTTATATTTTGAAGGGTATTGAACTATCTTATCGCTTAAATGAATAAGTTGCTAAATTAAACCATCTTATTGTTCAAATAAATAAATAAGTTGCTAAATTTAACCATTTTATTGTTCAAATTAGTAAAGGTGCTTATGGTCCAAATGAATAAAGTGCTAAATTGGACCACATTATAATTCAAGTGAATGCGTTACAAATTTGAACCATTTTATCGTCTAAATTAATAAGGTGCTAAATTGAACTATTTTATTGTTCAGATTAATAAGGTGTTAAATTGAACCATCATATCATTCAAATGAATTAGTTGCTAAAATAAATCATATTATTGTTCTTCTTAAACTTGNATTTATTGATACATGTAATTATTATGTGTACAATGGTTACACCTATAGAATTTTTACCTTTTTCCAAAGTTCAAGGTTTTGGACACTTTAAGACAGTTTAATCCAGTTTAGGACAGTTTTACCCAGTTTAGGACAGTTTTACCCAGTTTAAGACAGTAAAACCCACGTGTCCTGTCCAAAACCAGTTTAGGACGTCAAAAACCCCAACCCTGGTTTCAATGTATGGAAATATGGTTTAATTGTGCAACTTAATAGGGTGGCAGTAAATTTTGCTGTGTAATTTCAAGGTACCCATATTATGGTTCAAATTTGTACTCATTTTTCTAAAAGTGTATGATTAAGACAAAGCCATACCGAAATGAAATAACATTTACCAAATGATCTAAACACAAATTTTGACGATGAAGGGAAGGATATATTGATGCAATAATCTAGAACTGAATCCACTTAAATGCTAAAAATTAATACAGTTACGAATAAAATGTTTGTTAAAATGTCATATACTTTTAATTTATTATTCTTCAATTTATTTTTAACATATGGTAACTAACATATAAATTGCCATAATTTTTAAGATCCGAGCCGAAATTTAGAAATATTTTATTTTTAGTACTTTAAAAAAGTATAAATTGTTTAACCGAATACTACAAGTGTAAGTGAATAAAAATTATAGCAAAAACTTAGTAATGAAAAGAAATTAGTAAACAGCTTCAGGAATTATTATAATTATTACTAATTAAGGAGTTGAGTTTCATTATTAGTAGTTCAAGCATGAATGAGATTTGAAATCAAAAATCTTCGTTATTGATAATTAATAGTTGATTTTAATTTATTAGTACAAAACTGTCTAGTTTCCCATTTAATAAATAATCCGTAAATTATTTTATCAAATGTCATACACTTTGTTTGTAAATTATCTTAGGAATAAAAAAGAGAGCAGAATTTCTAAATATCTAATTAATATTCTTTTTTTGTCTAAATAATATTGCAAGATTTAAAACTAACTTATTTTTCTTACGCTAAGAAAATTAATGTTTTCTTTTTTTTTGTTATTTTTTTAAATCAAAAATGAATACATTTACGAATAAACAGTTTGTTAAAATGTCATATACTTTTACTTTCTGACATAATTTATAGTGTTTTCAAAATTTACGCATAAGCTAACCCTAATATTATGTTATTTTTTAAGAACTAAGATTCCAGTTAGAAAACACTTAACATATATTAAAACTGAATTAATATAAATAAATATTAACTAAAGAAAAATTAAACAGTATGAATATTAATATAAATTTTACTGTCAATATTATAGATTAATATTTATTCCTGTTGTTATTCTCTATAAAAATCCGTGCTTTGGAAAAATTTTAGAATAACTTGAAAACTAGATGAATAATTGATACAATTTTAAAATGAAATCGAAAAATTATTGAGTATTGAACTTAGAGCACAAAAGTCAAATGAAAAGTATTCATCAGTAGTAAATGAATTTATTATAACCGTCCCAAATCAATTTTCTTGCATCAATTGGCATAATCGATAATGGATGGACATAATCGATACAAATTTAATTGACGTATTATTAAGCTCTAAAAATAACAGTTGAAAACGCCTATTTTAATGAATGTTTCTGTCAACTTTCTTGTTTTAATGCATTTTTAAAAATGAGGAAACATTTTATTATTTTATTTATCGATTAAAAAAATAATTAATATTAATTAACTAATAATAGTTCATCTGAACTTTACATTTTAGAACAACAATGGGGACGAAAAAGAATTAGCCAAGGAGGGTTTTTCCCGCGGTATAGCATTATCTTAACAATTAATAGAAATATATATATAACATGAAACAAATGTAAAATAAATAACGTAATTTAAATATTGGGTTTATATTAAAATTAAAGTCGAAATTCAAACAGCAAAAAGTGGCTTTTTATTGTTTTAACATCATATTGTTTTAACATATTGTTTTCTCTAATGAAAATTGTTATCTCTATTAAAAAATTCTCTAAAAGATTAGTCACAATAAGTCCTTCAATACATAAGTTCGAGAAATAAAAAAGTAAGTAAAATAAATTATTTAATAGATTTATCGCATTTGAAAATAAAAACATTCTAAACATAAATGACTAACATAAAAAAAAATAAATAAATATTTTAATAGATACATCATAATTGAAAGTAAAAGCATTCTAACTATAAATGACTAACATAAAAAATAAATAAAAAAAAATTTAATAGATATATCGCGATTGAAAGTAAAAACATTCTAAACATAAGTGACAGACAAATAATTGATATGGTTTCATACGAACCACCCCCGATAGATCGATAAAGAGGGGTGACTTACCAAGGTGGTCGAATAGAGCATGGCAGGGTGGTGGCCGCTCATGTAGGTAGCAGCGGCGACATGGTCTGGGTATCCAGCCGCGCCTGCGGCGTACAATTCAGAAAGCCTCGGGTAGGCCGTGCCTAGAAGCCGACCGTCATACGGTAGGGAACAGACGCTAGAGCCGGGATGGGCCTGACTTACTAGTGTGTCGGGTGGCATGCTGTTTGAGGCTGGATAGTGGACGCTGGGGTGCTGGCCTGTCATCAGAAGCTGAAAAATAAAAAAAAAGAATGTTAGGGAAAGGAGAGATTGGTTGGTACTAGGGGGAGTGTCTACGACCCCCGATAACTTTTTTCACCCCCAACAAAAATTTGAAGGAAAATGCTTTATATTTTTTTTTTGTGTGCAAAATATGCCCATATGCTTCGATATCATCAGTATTTATTTCATAACCTGGTAATACAGCTTATTGGTACCTTAACTAAAATTTATTAATCATTAGTTTGCTACAATGTTAGAAATTTCACGGAAAAAAATGGTCACGTAACAATTTATTTGTCATTTTACCAAATTCAAACAAAACTGTCAAATTACCGTAAATAAGATGGTAATCGAACTGTTAATTGTGAGAAAAAACAGTTTATTAACTGCTTTTACCTAATACGGTTAAACAACCAGAATTTCATCGCACGAACCAAGCCCATCTAATAAAGAGACTTAGTTTCTTGCAACTGCGTAAATGTTACAAATGAGAGGGCTAATCTATCAGTCTCGTGATCGACAGGTCTCTAAGTTGTACCACAATATTTCCTCTATTTCTTTGTTTCTAGTGTCTTGCACTTCCCAATTTGTGCCCTGCTCTCTCCAGTGCCCATTATCTGAAGAAAAGCCTAGCTCCTATGTCCAGTTTAAATTTCTTTTTTACGGTTTTGAAACCATGCTAGCTCCCAAATGATTAAAAAACCGTTTAGTTTCGTATTCATGGTTTCATAACCTTCCTATTTGTAAACGGTTTTAAAACCATAAAAGTAAAAAAATGTTCTTCACCGTGAACTTTACGGTTAATTGAATGGACAGATTGTTGCCGGTTATTTTACTATAATTTGAAGTTTTAAGAGAATGCTCTATAGCGGGATAAAACCTTCATTGCCAATTCTCTTTCACCTGCATAAGTAATTTAGAACTTGAAATGTTTAAAAAAAATTTAAATTAAATTAAAAAAAAGATTAAAAAAAAAGCTAATTCGGGTTTGAGTTAGAGCAAATAATGAAGTTTCAAATGTTGAAATGTTCCTCATAATTTATTTGCATTTTAATATTTGAAAACATTTTTCAGCATTTGAGATTTCTTGGTTTACACTAGATTTGCGTGGACCCATTCTTTTTCCTTTCAAATTAAAAAAAAATCGCTAGCCAATCTCAAAACATTATTGAAATAAATTTTTTTTTTTTTACCGTGTTTTACTTTTTTAATAGTTGTAAACATTAAGTATTTGGAGCGGAATGTTAATGATTTTCATGCTGTCAATGTGTTTTTAATATATATATATTGGAAAATTTGCATTTTGGAGTGAAAATAATTAACTTAGACAAGGTTCAAATATTACTCTAGTATCTAAAGTTATATTTTATTTGTTTTCGCTAACAAGGGAGGGGAAAAGAAAGATAAACAATGTTTACGTAAATCACTAAATTTCTTTAAAATGCACAAAAATTCCCTTTGATCAATAAAATTAATTAAAAGATAAAATGCTGCATTGAAAGTATCACAGTTAAGAGTAAAGAACTGCTTATTTTCAATAAATGGCATATTTTCAGTTCCTTATTTTAAATAAAAAAGCAAATTTTAACAAGCCTTACTTTACTTAAAGCTAATGAATCTAGAATCGTTTTTAATTACAAAGGCCAATTAAATGCTGTTCTGTCTGAGAATATGTATTTATAAAATAGCCCATCAATTTTAAAAGGGTATATTGTTCTTGGTATCTCTAACGTTCATTTAATTCAATTTTTTCAACTAATTCAATCTTTTCAACTTAAGTAATGTATTACTTTACCCATCGCTACATCAATAAGTGTTGAGTGATATTTCTATTAACTGAAAAAAACCGATTCTTTTGAAAGTCTCACATGGTCAACTAGTTTTTTTTTATTCAAAGCCAATTGCGTGCGTTTGCATATTATTTGCGACACACACACTTTTTTATTCTTTAGTTCCTGACTTCTGATCTTTTCGTCAGGGTGATTTGCAGATTTATTGCTTCCTCTATGAAGTATGGCGCTAATAACTACTTGGATATATTTAGAGAAAAAAAAAGGAAAAAAAAAAGGGAAAAAAAAGCAGGTGCCTTTTTTTCAAGCGTCTAAAGAAGGGAAGAACATCAAAGAAAAGAATACCACATTAAGGTGCAGACCGGTACGAAGATGCTAACTACCCATCAGTTATGCTTAGAATATTTTGATAAGCATCTGTCGCCAATTCGTGACTCGTCAGATTTGTAGCCACTAATAGCACCATCAAATAAATGAGGTGAGAAAATCCAAAGCCAATCAAAAGCGAAATAAAGGTGTTTCGTATTGGGGTGTTAACATGAATGAGACACCATACACATATTAAGTTGTATGTTCACTTTTAACCAACTTCCAAGTAACGATTCAGTTTTTATGTTTGAAAATTCAAGAGTTAAGCAAGCATAAAGTGCATAGCTAAAAAAGTCAAGTACGCATGCGCATTATAGTCGAGGTAGGAAAGATAAATTTCAATTAAAACCATTTTTGAAATGTTAAGCCCTTTCTGTTGACCGAAAATTATGAATTAAGCTTTAAAAATGTTATAATAAAGAAATGGCAAATAAATCTTCTTTCTGCCATCTAAATCTTCTTTAAAGGAAAATAAGTGCAAAATTAAAGTATAATAAAACTATTGGTAATTTTTTACCAATAGTTTTATTATTCTTCAAAATAATTCTATGAGATTCTAAATTTTAATTTTAGAAGCAATGAATCTTTTTTTTTTTATATATATTATATATGGTAACGAAGATATAAATTGTCTTAATTTTTAAGATCGTAGACGAAATCTACAAATATTTTATTTTTGGTACTTTAAAAAAATATTAACTTCTTATCCAAATACTAAAAGTGTAAGTGAATAAAAATTGTAGCAAAAACTTAGTAATAAAAAGAAATCAGTAAAAAGCTTTAGGAATTATTTTAATTAATAATTATTATTACTAATTAAGGAATTAGTTTTATTATAAATAGTTCAAGCATGAATGAGATTTTTAATCAAAAATCTTTGTTATTGATAATTTGTATTTGATTTTAATGTATTAATACAAAATTGTCTAGTTTCCCATTCAATAATTAATTCGTAAATTATTTTATCAAATGTTATATATTTTGTTTGTATATTATCTTAGAAATGAAAAACAGATAGAATTTCTAAATATCTTATTAATATTTCTCTTTTTTTTAAAAAAAATATTGAAAGATTTAAAAATAACTTCCTTTATTTACGCGGAGAAATTAAATGTTTTTTTCCTTCAAAAATTATGTTTTTTCTTATTTAAAAAGAATAATTGCTTAAGCAAATGCTGTAGCAAACTTGTCAGGTGTTTTAAAATTGAAAATTTAAAAAAACATGGCTGATTTCAAATAAATATTTAATAACCGTCTTAAAGTGCCCTTAACTTTAAACTATAATTTTTGATTTTTCTTCTTGTACTAAACAAACAAAAATGAAATAAAAAACTTTGAGAACCACGAGTCAATTTCTAATTTACTTAATCATGTTAGAATCCAAAATCATGAATTAGAAAATTCAAAATAATGATTGTTTAAGCAAATGCTAACTTGTTAAGTGTTTTATAAATAAAAGCTTCAAAAAAAAAAAAAAAAAGTTGCTGATTTTTTAATAAATATTTAGTAACAGTCTTAATATCAAGGTTATTTAAGATAATTTGTGATTTTTTTTCTCTCTCTTGTTCTTAACAAGCAAACTAAAATGAAAACTTTGTGAGAAACATGAGTCGATTTCTAATTAACGCTTCAAGTAATAAGCGTCATAATCGTGACACAAGAATTCATTTTTGATTCATGGATGAACTCCTAAATCATCAACACCTATTTTTTTCTTTTAAATTTTTTTTCACCTCTTTCAATCCTGGAAAGAATATTCGGGCTATTGGCAATAAATTACACTTTTCTTTTTCCATCCGCAACATCAAGCACGAATCGTTCGAAATTTCGGAATAGAATTCCTCTTTGATCGTTTTATTTATTTTTTTATTTACGCCCAAAATAAATCATTCCTTTTTTTTCTCTCTTATTCTTAATTCGTTCTTACGTGTAATCCAACTTGTCTTGGAACACAAGATAAAGTCGACTTGTAACTTAATAAGGTGCTGTAGTTAGCAGACATGTTTCGGTCAGAGTTTTATCTTGTAAATTCCCTCCCCCCTCCTATCATTCTTTTCTTGCTCATCTCCCCCCTCTTGTAATCGTGTTCCTAAATTGGGGTGATATTATTCAAGGGAAAGGTAACTTGTAATCGGAGGTGAAAATTGTTTAATCGAATTTTCTTTTTATTTCTGGAGGTGTGGCTGCGTTTAGATATCCGAAGCATGTTTCGCCAACCCAAAGTAGGTTTTTGACGCCGTCTCAATTTTCCAATTTTGCGGGGATGAAAATTAAGAAGTTATTACATTGTTATTAGTTACAACATGATAACTGACAGGGAATATTATTTTAAGCTCTCTTTACACCATACGTGATATTTTAATGCGCTTACTGACGTCATAGCTATCATAGCTGCCAACACGGATAGGAAAGATATTACGAAATAATATAAATTTCATGATCATTTTTGCATAATGTACTAAATATTTTACGTAAGGGAAATCTTAGGGATTTTTATAGTCATCAAAATCGAAAAACTGCAATATTTTCCAGTTATTATTGACATCAAAAACACTTGGAATGTTATATATGTTTCGAATACTAATAAGGCATTTAATTCATCAAAGATAGTTAAAGTTTGTTTTTAAACTCATTTAAAAAGAGAGTTCTGAATAAAAATAAACGGAAAATTTTAGAACAAAAAAAGTTTTGAATTGATTTCTATAAATGGGGTTCGCTTCATTATGTATTAATACTACTACTTATTTAAATATTCTAGCAAACAAGCAATAATCTGTAAAAAAAATTTATTTCAATAGGGATTTTTTTAGGAAACTTACTTAATTTTAGTGAATTTTCTAAAATGTACAA